TTATTTCATTGTCAGATTGGTTGAATTCTTTATATGGCCGGCGGCTTCAACTTTTTTACCCTTGATAGTCTTCAAACATCGTTATGTTTTCTTCGCTTCCGTGGGCAACATGTTTATGCATGAAAATCAATAATTACTAAGGATCATTTAGTTGATTTACCTCAGAATTAGCAAACACGCCTGTAGAGATCGGTTCCTCTTTTATTTTATAGAGTTTCTTTTTATATTTTTATTTTTGTGGCATTAGGATACGTTTACGAGGTTCGTGGGTTTCTTTATAGCCTTTCTTTGAGTCATGGACTCTTAGAAATGCATTTCGGACAATTTCCCACAGTTTTGAATTTTTGACCCGAGAAGTCACCGTGTGGGCCCTGGACGGATTTTTCAACTCAAGATTATTTTTCGATGCAGTTAATTTTGTTGTGTGTTATTTTAGACAATGGTAACACAAAATAAAATTTAAATTTAATTACAATACATAATTTCAAATTAAGAACACAAAATAAAATCTCAGCATTGTACCGTACAAAAGCAAAGAAAAAAAACCACCCACAAGTTTTTTCTATTCTCCTTCTAGGGTTAGGGTTTAGGTTCTCCTTCTACGGTTAGGGTTTAAGAAGGAATTCTCAATGGAAAGAGCGGTTGCTTAGCGTCCTTCATGGAAGTATAAGTCTATCAATTGCATATGGAGAAATTTTATATGGATTATGATCCTCTTTGTTTGTGCGAATGACTTTACGCAATCAATTTTGCTCACAGTGTTTGAAGATCCCAAATATATCAAAAAAATCAAATGCGCTTTTAGAATTGGTAAAATGGAGCGAGGCTTCATATTTTTTACCATTAGCCGGACTCGGTGCGAGCATTCACACCATGTTTGAAAATGACAATACATTTAATAGTTATTGCGATGAGCATGGAAAAGAGTCATAGTTAAACCATCAATCTCAAAGTATAGCCGAACAATCCGAATGTTTAGAATCACTTTATTCGAGTGTGAAGTGTGTATGGTAGTAGGTGAGATTATGGGTCCAAGTCAACCCTCAGGTAATTATCGCCACCACATGTACATTTATATGGATGAATCATATAGTTTGAAAAGAATTTCCAATAGAAAATGTTAATAATATTCTTAATTGGGTAATTGGTTATAATAATTGGAGAAATGCTTAGTTATTGTTACAGTGACTATTTGGAAGTTATTTATTTATTTTTTTCTCAAAATTTATTTAAGAATATAATACATTGCAGTAGATGTGCAATAAATGAATTTTTTTTTGGTTCCATCAAACTTCTTTGCTATTGTTATAGGCAATTGGCCTTTGTAAAGGCCATCTAAGCAAAGACAAATGGCCGTACATTTAATTACATCATGAGAACCCAAAAATAATAATAATTAAAATTTAAGTTTAATTACATCACATAATTTCCAGCACAACAAAAACATAAAAAAGACCAATAAACTAAGTTAGGAAACTTCTCCTTCTACGGCGGTAAACAAATCATCTTCACAATGGAAATAGCAGAAGGATACGTCGAATGCAACATCATCTTTCATGGAAGGATATATCTATCGATTGGATATTAAAAAAAATTGAATCGATTTTGATCATCATGGCTTGTGGGAGTGGCTTTTCTATGTCACTATTTATCGCATATCAAGATGATAAGCCCCAAAATATCAAAATTATCAAAGACAGCTATTTAGTTTTAAATGTCATTGCAGTTGCCTATACTTGGGCATCCCGATGGAAGTGTTATAAATTACACGGGTTATTTCATTGTCAGACTGGTTGAATTCTTCATATGGTCGGAGGCTTTAACTTTTTTACCCTTGATAGCCCTTAAACATCGTTATGTTTTGTTCGCTTTCACGTGCAACATGTTTATGCATGAAAATCAATAATTACTAAGAATCATTTGCTTGATTTACCTCAGAATTAGCAAACACGTCTATAGAGACCGGTTCCTTTTTTGTTTTCTTTATATTTTTATTTTTGTGGCATTAGGATACATTTACAGGGTTCATAGGTTTCTTTTTATCCTTTCTTTGAGTCATGGACTCTTGAAAATGCATTTCGGACCTTTCCCACAGTTTTGAATTTTTGACCCGGGAGGTCACCGTGTGAGCACGGGATGGATTTTTCAGCTCGGGATTATTTTTCAATGCAATTAATTGTGTTGTGTGTTATTTTAGACACGGGTAACACAAAAGAAATTTTAATTTTAATTATAGTACATAATTTCGAATTGGGAACATAAAATAAAATCCCAGCGATGTACCATACAGAAGTAAAGAAAAAGCCCCACATTTCTTCTCTTCTCCTTCTAGGGTTAGGGTATAGGTTCTTCTTCTACGGTTAGGGTTTAAAAAGGACTTCTCAATGGAAAGAGCGGTTGTTTAGCGTCCTTCATGGATATATAAGTCTATCAATTACATATAGTGAAATTTTGAGCCGATTATGCTTGTGCGAATGACTTTACGAAATCAATTTTGCTCGTAGTGTTTGAAGATCCCAAATATATGAAGAAAAAAAACCAAATGCGCTTTTAGAATTGGTAAAATGGAGCTAGGCTTCATATTTTTTACCATTAGCCGGACTCGGTGCGGGCATTCGCACCATCTTTGAAAATGAAAATACATTTAACAGCTGTTGCGAAGAGCGTGAGAAAGAGTCCTATCAATCTCAAAGTATAGCCGAACAATCTGAACATTTGGAATCACTTTATTCGAGTGTGAAGAATGTATGGTTGTAAGTGAGATTATGGGTCCAAGTCAACCCTGAGATAATTATCGTCACCACATGTACATTTATATGGATGAATCATATAGTTTGAGAATAATTTTCAATGGAAAATGTTAATAATATTTTTAATTGGGTAATTAGTTATAATAATTGAAAAAATGTTAAATAATTTGAAAAATACTTAGATGTTATTACAATGACTAGTTAAAAGTTTATTTATTTAATTTTTTTCTCAAAATTTATTTAAGAATATAAGACATTGCAGTAGATGTGCAATAAATGAATTTCAAAACGGTTGTTACGAGCTTTTTTAAAATCTTCGAGAAATGAAAAAAAAATTGGATTGATTTCCGATTAAGGGCTGTAAAACTTTAATCTCAAACGGTTGGTTGAAGGTTTGAAGACAATCGACACTTGTAGAATGTGCTTGTGATTAGTGTAGAATTTAGCAGAGTTTTATTGAACTCCTTGAGCCTTCTCCGTCTCTTGTTGCTTGAATGTTTATTTCTTCCTCTCTTTTTTTTTCTTTTTTTTTTTGGTAAATCAATTCATTAAAAAACAAAAGCAAAAACTATACAAAGGAAGGGCAAAAGCCCACAGCCCAAAGGCGACAACCCAGGAAAGCTACAAGCAGCCCAGCCCAGAGAGGAAAAAAAAAAAAAAAAACGTTGCAACAACAACAAGAAACAGGGACAAAAAGGTGCAAAGGCAACACAGGGCAAACCCTCAATGATCTCCATGAAAGACTGAGGAAGGCAAACTCCACGCAACGGCGATAGACATGAGACGGTTCCTCACACTGTTGTAGATCAGTTTAGTGACCGCAGCAGTGGAAGCCATTTGGTTCAAGGCATGTCGCCTATTCTTCTCATTCCAGATGAAATATACTGAAGTTGTAAGACATAATTTGAAAACATACGCCTCTGGATCCTTGGTACCATCCTTCCACATTGACACAATCCAATTAGTGATCTCATATAAGTTGTAGTCTCCAACATAGATACCATAGAGATGTTGGAAAAACATCCAAATCTCAGAAGCAAACTTGCATTTGAATAAGAGATGTTGGTGAGTCTCAGCAACAACATTACACAATGAATAATAATTTGAGGCAATTTTCTTTACAAGAGCATAATTGTCCCTTGTCTTGAGCTTATGACTAAGAGCAACCCACGTAATGAATGAATATCATGGAATATGCTTTGAAAACCAGACGACCAAGTGCCACAGGACAGCCAGAGATGGTGAAATGAGAGCTCTATAGGCAGTAGTAAAACGAAAGCCACCCGTAGAGTAGAGGTCCAAACAATAGAGTCTTGAGACCCAACACTCAATTCAGGAAGGTGCTCTGTAGTCCCAATGGATGGAACTAAATCTATGAAAAGCCGAGGAGGTCTCAATTGATCATGCCTAATCAATCTTTGGACTCCCATTGAGAGCAAGTAATGAGGTTGTGGTCAATTTTGGTGTCAAGGGGACCTAATGGGAGCCAGTAATCATGCCACAGTGAAACATCCTTCCCATTCCCCACCACATGCTTGATAAAAGGTCTAGCGAGCCCTCTAAGATGGAGGAGTATCCTCTAATTCCAAGAGCACACCTGAGGAGGCTTCAAAATCCAGAAACTACGATTTTTTATAAGGTTTTCATGAGCCCATTCAAACCAAATGGATTAACCTCCATCTTTGCTTTCCTTTTGATAATTATTCCATTAATATATATATATATATATAATTTTTTTTATTATTGATAATTACCTTTTATCCATTTTCAAGTGGTTGACCCATCTCAAGTGGGTTTGGACTTGCTAGGTAATTTTACTTGTTCCGTGGGCTCACTTATGATGATGATCCAAAATTAGAATAAAATCCCAATTGAGTGTAGAAATTTTCAATGTGTACACCCTCTTCTCTAAAGTGTTTAAATCAATTAAGGACATACATCAATTAATAAATATACTGATTGAGTATTTTACCATTTTTCTATAAGTTAAGTAATTATTTTAATAAACGTAATTAATAATGCAATTAGAATATCAACAAAATAAAAATTTTAACTTGTAATATGGTAAGATAAGGATCCTAGGACACACTAATTTTGTGCCTTCCAATTATATAATAATATCGAAAATAGATATATATATATAATAATAATAATATAATGTAAAATCCCATGTTGAAAACGAGGATTATTTCAGTCCAATTATAAAATTTGAAGCCTAACCCAAACAATACTAAAATGCAAACCCGTAAAACTGAAAAGGCCCGACAAAGGTCCACTCTATTTCGCTCTCTCTCTCTCTCTCTCTCTCTCTCTCTCTCCAACATTTGGTTGGATCAAACGCAATATTCAAACCCTCCCTCACTCTGCGCTCTAGGTAATTCACTGAAATCGAATCGTCTCTGACCGCGATCGGCTCTGTCGGAGAGAAAATAAGCTCTCACACGGAAGCGAGGAGTAAATGTAAAAGCAAAATGGCATCTAAGGGCAAACCAATCACGGATAATGGTAAGTGATAATCTTTTATTTATTTATTTATTTTGCCCATCAAAACAATTACATATCCATGTTAATTTTGATCTGAAAGTTCACACTTATTAATCAATTAAACCATGAACACCCAATTGGAGCTTGGAGAGTTCATAACATGCATATATATATATATATATATATATATATATATATATACACACACAGTAGTAGTCTTGTACAATACATGTCCATGTTAATTTTGTTCTGAAAGTTCAATTTTTTAATAAATTAAAGCATTTGCGCCCAATTGGAGTTTGGGAAGTTCCTACCATGCATATCTACATTAGTCTTGCTGGGTACCCAGAAAAAAGAAATGGGGAAAATAGAAGAAGAAGATAGGGTTTGTGCTCACACTGACTTCTGTTTCTAAACATGGAATGCATGAATTTCATATGGTAGGATTGCATGCGTATATATTAGCCCAAAAATTTGTACATGAAAAAATAGGTTAACCCATTATGAGATAGGATTGGACCCAATATGCAAATGCCTCAACAGAATTTAAAAAGTGGGACTGTCTAACTTACTTGTAGCCTATTTAGTCAATGACATTTTATCCTTAAAATTAAGTTTACATATTTGTTTCTTATAAATCATACTGTGTGTGAGTGTTGATGATATTTCTGATTTTTAGTTTTTGGCTGAATCTTGTAGTTTCTGATATATTCTTTCTGGTTTAATTTGGAAAAGCTTTCTTTGAATCTGTGGACTTCATTGTTGTGCCATACTTGGCTCTTGTCATCATTATTAATTGTCAACTGCATTGCTTATCTAATTTCTTTTCTATGGATGTATTGGCATATTACTAATGATTTGTGTTTCAATTTGTAGACATTGTAATTGATAGCGATGTAGAAATCATCGCAGTTGATAATGGTGATAGCTCTCACATTACACATCAGAATGACAGTGATTTGGAATTAAAAGTTGGAATATCGGTTCCTAGTGAAGAAGAAGCGTATAATCTGTATAATAGTTACGCCATAAACAAAGGGTTTAGCGTCCGAAAAGGTAAAGTACGACGTCGTGAAGGCACAACTGATGTGCGGCAACGTGTCTTTTTGTGTTCATGTGAGGGATTTAGTGAAGATGCTCACCTTTTTCCAGATAAAAAGGTTGAGAGGATGTTGGCTAGAACTGGTTGCAATGCCCGTGCTATATTTAATGTGGAAGATGGTAAGTGGAAATTAGTCCAGTTCATCTCTGAACATAACCATCCATTTGTAAAGCCGGAACAAAGGCACTTGTTAAGGTCAGGCCGAAAGATGTTAGATCCTTGCACGGGTTTCTTTAGTTCTATACCCAAAAACAGCATAACAGTGACCAAGACACACTCCTACTTGTCCAGAGAAGGCAATGGAGTTCAAAATGTTATGTCAATAGAACGGGATCATCACAATTGTTTACAATCCCAAAGGTCAAAAGCAATGGATGTTCAAAGTCTCATAAATTATTTTATGCGGAAGCAATCTGAAGATCCGATGTTCTTTTACACAATGAAAGTGGATGATCAAAATCGAATAGCTAATTTTTTTTGGAGAGATGGTTTGTCCAAATTGGATTATCATTGTTTTGGAGATGTGGTCATATTTGATAGCACCTATCGCACAAACAAGTACAACATGATCTGTGTTCCATTTGTAGGAGTAAATCATCATTGGAAAAATGTACTTCTTGGTTGTGCTTTTTTATCAGATGAGACCATATCTTCTTTTGTTTGGTTGTTTGAAGCATTTTTGGAGGTGATGGGGAATAAGGCACCAAAAACCATTTTCACCAATCAAGATAATGCATTGTCAATTGCTATACAAAAGGTATTTCCCAGTACACGACATCGCCTATGTACTTGGCATATTTCAAAAAATGCAGTTCAAAATGTTTCCACTTTCTTTACCTATTTAGGGTTTAAGGAGAAATTTGCAAAGCTCTTGAATGATTGTGAAACAGATACAGAATTTGAGTCTACATGGAATAGTATGAATGAAGAATGGAGCATTTTGGGAAATGAATGGCTTAGGAAATTATATGACCTCCGTGAGAAGTGGTGCCCAGCCTTCAACCATGATACTTTCTCTGCTAACATTACATCAACCCAAAGAAGTGAAAGTGAAAATAATATTTTTGAACATGTGGCTTGTAACACCATGACTCTCACTGAATTTGTGCAGTATTACGAGGAAAGTGCAAGCCGAATGCGTGAAGTTGAAGTTAATGATGATTTTTTATGTGCCAAAGGTAAACCTCAAATTCTAGTACCCAACAATGGCATTTTAATGCATGCATCCGAAGTGTACACGGACGCTATTTTCAAAATGTTTCAAGATGAGTTCTTGAAAGGGGTGAATGAAGATGTTGTTCATGTTGAAACCAAAGGGCCTCTTGTTGTCTACACTTTAAGAGGTATCAGTTGTCCTAGAGAGCGCATTGTACACTTCCATAAAGCTGATCTCAGTTTAAATTGCAGCTGTCAAATGTTTGAGTCATTGGGTTGGTTGTGTCGTCATGCTTTAAGAGTGCTGAATCTCAATGCCGGTGTACAAAAGATCCCAAGTCAATATGTATTGAACAGGTGGACAAAAGGTGTAAAAGAGGGAATTGTTATTGATGACTATGGTGAGTCATTTCAGAATATAACTGCATCGTCAAAGACAGTACGGTTTAACAAGCTTATGTGCAAAGCTTTTAATGTCACAAGTATAAGTGCAGATAATGATGAAACAACTGCAATTGCAGATGCATATCTAGACTGTATTGTAGATGAAGTTAGGAAGTTAAAAGCAGAGAATGTGATGGGACATTGTGATCCCAATGCAGATGGTTGTGATACTGATATACATTGCTCAGTTGGTGAGAAGGTGGTGTTGGATCCCCCACGAATGAGTCCAAAAGGGGTAACACATGATAGGCCTGAGGGGTGCTCAGAGAAGAAGAAGAAGAATAAAAGAGCAATAGGGGAGGGAACTACTTCTCAGACGGCTGGTTATAATAATGCAATGACAGCAGGACTGAACCTTAATCAGGTGTGTTATACCTTAACAATTTATGTCAATTCTTATACTCTATGTGGACAAGATCTGTTCTACTCTATCGTAACAACTAGTTTTTGTTTATTTATGCAGTTTCCCCCCTTCTATGGCATGCGGAGTTTGCCTGTAAATAGTCAATTTTTTGGGTATCCTACCATTCCTTTTGCAAACTTCCCTCAACCCAAACTTCCTATACCAAAATTAAGTCAGGTAGTACATAGAATTCTAGTCTAAATTTATGTCTTATAAGAAGTCATAATATACATTATTAGTTTCGTAAACTATAAATAATTTACTTTGGATGCTTGTAGGGATCACGTAATATTGTTAGACCAAATCAAACCTCTCACACTTCCCCACACATTACTCAGGCATGTATTGTTCCTTAAGAGTATAAATTTTGAGTGACTGAATTATCTACATTTATGTCAATTTATTGGTACTTACAATTTTGAAATTTATACTTTCAGGACTCGACCAAGTGAAAATTACATGTTTGAGATGCCATTTTGCTGGTACCTTCTCATTATTACTTCTTTTTCCTCATAAGTATGTCTATTTCTAATACTGTACCTCTGAGTCGGAAAATGTTGCTAGTGCTTTGAATTTTGAGAAACAATTATAAAGTTAAAGAGAAAACTTCATTGAGGTAACCGGTCCAGGTGGTCTCATTTGCAGGTTTCTGCAGAAACTTGTCCTGATTGTCCGGGTCCTTGATGCTGGCTATGTTGTTTATATCATGGATTTCTTCCTGCTTCAAAAAAAATCCACAGCAATGGATCTTCCACTGGTTGTTTATAGAAGTATTATGTAAGATCAAAATGGAGATTTTTCTTTTTTTCTTTTTTTCTAATTTTCAAATTTTTTTTTTTTTTTTTTTTTTTTTTTTTTTTTTTTTTTTTTTCTCCAACACACTAAAATATTAGAAGGAAGATGAGGACAATTGTCATCCCTTTTTAATGTGCAATGCAGAGAGAGTCTTGAGGCATGTGGTGTGTGGAGGAGGACTTTGGTACAAGAAGCCAAGGCGCATAAGGTTTGCTGAGAAGTACTTCCCATAATGAGTTTCGAGTTGCTGAGCCTTGGTATTGTTGAGCCACTGGAGCATGCTATGGTGTGTAAATCTTCGTTCTTTTTCACAACTACTAGTAGATCTCTGAGATAATCATACCCTCCCATTTCTAGCCGATATGCAGTTCTCTGCTCTCGTAGTGAATGAATTTATGCTCGTCCTCATTTTTTGGTTTCGCTGTACATGTGATAGGAAGAAAAAGAGCAGATATTATGTAGAGATCAAATGAATTTATGCTCATCCTCATTTCTTGACATGCACTTCCGCTGTTGTAGTGAGTGAATTTATTCTCGTCTTCATTTTTCGGTTCCGTCATACATGTGATAGGAAGAAAATAGCAGATTTGTCACGAGGCTGTGAGCTCAGCAAGAGCACTCTCATTGTAGCGTTTATCCGAAGGAAATCGTAACAACGAATTTATTGTAAGACCTATGATTGTGTGCCAACAGTATGGATGGCATCAACATCCCAAGTTATTTGGGAGCTTCACATTTCCTTCATTCTTCATTGATGTTTGTGGCTTCTCTAGGGAAACCAACACATTTTTGAGAGATTATTTTCAAATGTGTCAATCTATTGGTATTTATATTTTTTTTAAGATATGGCTGGTGATAGAAAAGAAATTTATGTAAATAATATGGGACACATTTGAAAGATCTGAGACTATAAAATAAAATAAAAAAACAAATCATACATGACATTACCATTAGTTAGCTTGTATTAGATGGTTTGGGACCATGTAATCACAAGTAAAAATAAATAAATACAAATACAAAATACTGGAGAAATTTTTTAAATGGTTGGTTACAACGATTTTGGTCAATTACAATTCGACACGACAAATGACTAATACATTTGTTTGTGACGTGTGTGGGCTAGGGATTATATGGTCTGAACCATTGAACAATTTTTAAAAGCTTAGGGTATAGGCATTGTCAGTAGTTAATATCCTTTTACCTTTTATAATAAGGTGAATCAAATGTAAACCTCACTTGTTTCGGTTGTTGAGGAGGAATGTGTATGGAAGAGCTAGCAAATGGCGAGGAGTCGAGGACATCCTTAGTGAGTTTTTTGTCTTCGACACTGATAGAGGTGTTGTGATTTTGGCATATTGCTAATGATTTGTGTTTCAATTTGTAGACATTGTAATTGATAGCGACGTAGAAATCGTTGCACTTGATAATTGTGACAGCCTTCATGGTACACCGACAGTGATTTGGAATTAAAAGTTGGAATCTCAGTCCACAGTAAAAAAGCAGCATATAATCTTTATAACAGTTACATAATAAACAGAGGATTTAGCATGCGTATACGAATGACCCAAGTTCCAACCCCGATTAAGATCAATTAAAATTGTTTATCTCATGTCACGACAAGTCGTGTTCAACATATTTTTTAAAAATAATAAAAATAAGATTTTGGTGTGTTAAAAAAGAAAACAGAAATATAAATTTATATAAATCATATGGGATCGAAAGAGTTTATTTATAAAATACAAGAGCACACCTCATGCTAGTTCATTTATGCTCCGTTTGGTAGGATGGAAGAAAATTGAATAAAAGAGAGAGAAAAATAAATAAATGAGACATCCTTAAGGAAAATATTATTTTCTTCCCTCTTTTTATTTGGTACAACTTGGTACAACGGGAGATAGGAGAGAGAGAGAGTTTGTTAGAAGAGAAGAGAATAGAGAGAGTTAATTATAAAGAAAGTTTTGTAATTTAAATAATGGATTGAGTTTCCATTTCCTCAAAAGTATTCCAATCAACGAATTTATTAATCCTAACCGTGTGTGTGTGTGTGAGAGAGAGAGAGAGAGCAACGTCCAACACAAGTAAATTTGTAAAGATTGTCCGGATCCACTGATGTACTTCAAAAAATTTCAACAAATTTAAATCCAATTTCAACCCATTTGAAATAAATGTGTTGAAAATGAAATTAAATGTGTTGGAATCACTTTTCAAAACATCATTATTTCCAATTTTCAGGCACTTAAATCGGTGTTTAAATCATGTTTCTAATACATTTGTTCCATGTATTGAAATCTAGAATAAATGTTTTAAAATTGGATATAAATGCATTGAAAAATACGATACAATACAGAACGCTACATCAGAGGACATACAACAAAGAAAGTAGTTCCATGTCCATGCTTGAGAACCAGAGTCCTACCTGTTCATAAAATTTTGGAAGAACACAAGCCGGTTGCAAAAGTCACCTCACTGGCAAAAAGAAAAATTTTGGAACCAAAGGATATTGGAAGCCTTATATATATATATACAGAATACAAGACTGTATACACAGTCATGTACGTATTAGCGAACTCGAAAGAAAATGAAAAATAACAAGCAAAATGAAGGATAATTTACTCCAGCTCCTGTGTTCTTAATGAAGAGCTGGAGAAGGCCAGCACTTTTTCACCCATTCTGAAAGTCCAAACAAGCAAGCATTAGATTTCCTTCACAAAACAAAACAAATAAAAATATAATGCTACCGAAACCTAATCTCTAAAAGCAACCCTTTCGTGTTACCAGCATCCTCGTCACCCACCCCATGCCGAGTTACCGAACTGGCCATCACAGCATATGACCAAAATGCCATGGATAGCATCACTTCCTGCTAAAAACAAAAGTGCAAAGTGATTATAGATCTCATTTCTCTCTCACACCTTCACTATATATGTGCCCTAGTTGCTCCTTTCCTCGAGTAGGATAACAAAGGGCATGGACACATCAGTGACCAGAAGCCATGTTTGATGACTGTTCTTCAGTGCTGACTGCAGCATTGGGAGCTGACTTGCATTGTTTGACCTCATCATTAACAGGATGTTTTATCTGGGATGACAAATTCTTCACTTCCTCAGTTGTATAGACGAAAATCTTCCTCACCATGCTGCAGAACTCACTGTAAATGTAAACAAGAACATACAGCTAAAAATTAGAACTCATTAGCATAGTTTTGGAACTATCAGTATTATATTGTACACAAGAATTCATGTTGATAACAATTTCGGTACATTACTTATTCAATCCACACTGTCAATTGCTTATTTGCCCCAACCAAGCATCAGATGCGCATCTTTAAAGGATCATATTCACAATAAGTACTAAATTCCAAAAATTGCAATATTAAATGATGATTTTGAGAGGTTTACTCCCAGAAATTCCAATAAAGTTACCCAGATAAAGAAAAAAGGATTGACATTACAGAATCCCAACCAAGAAATCTTCTACTATTTGAACACAATCTAAAACATTTAACTTACAATTTTCATTCAGTCTCCAGCCATTACCAGGTTTGATGACCAAATCATATTTTTTAAATTATGTTTTGAATAGAGATGTACATTTTGAGTACATGCATAAACGTTAGAATCAGTGTTTGTGATGAAATTAGAGAATGAGTAAGTGCTAAATCAGATGTTTATAGAAAAACTTTAGAATTAAAAGGGTTTAAGATAAGGAAAAATAAAACTGAATATATGGAGTGTAAATTAATTAAATCTAGAGATGCAAATAGGGCCGTAGTGAAGATTGAGGATCTGGACATATAAAAAAGTGACCATTTTCGTTCTTAGGCTCAATTATATATATTGAAGGTGAAATTAGAAACGATGTTAAATACAAAATCAAGGCAAGATACGCTAAATGGAGTACACTGGACGTACAAAATCAAGGCAAGATACGCTAAATGGAGTACATTGGACGGCGTATCCCACAAAGATTGAATGGGGAATTCCATAAAACAGTTATTAGACCAGCCATTCTTTATGGAACCAGAAAGTTAGCCAGCTAAAAAAGAACATATGTAGTTTTGTGAAAATGTGAATGTTTAGATGGATGTGCAACCAGATAATAACTGATAGAATTAGAAATGCACACATTCATGGGATGGCTACATAGCACCAATTGGAGATAAAATAAGATGAAATCGATTAAAATGGTCTGGACGTGCAAAGAAGACCACTAAATGTGCCAATTAGGAAGAATAACATGGTCCACATTGAGGATAATGCCAGAAAAAGGACATGACCAAAATCAAAATGAGTATAGTTAGTACGAATATATATATATATGATAACATATGGTTTGACTGCCGTTATGACGCAAGATAAAGCGGAATATAAAAAGAGGATTCATATAGCCGACCCCAAGCAATTGAGAAAAGACTTATATTGAGTTGAGTTGAGTTGAGTTTAATTATACTTACTATAGACACTATCATTCTATGCTTTTATAAACTGCAGTGTAGTTTGATAACTTGATTCTAAATAAACTAGCAAGTAATTATCTTGCATTTGATATCGCTTGAAGGAATAATTCCACTTAAAATAGGATAAATGTTTAAGGAATGGAGACTTGACTTTATGTATAAAGACACTGACTTATAATTCAAAAAAGTAGCCAAGTTCTCAATAACTCTCAATTTATAATTAGCACTTAAAATTTGGATCTTAAAATTTTAAGCACCAAATTTACAGTTTTGTCATAGAGACCAAACTCCACCTCCAAATCACTGAAAACTGCATCAAAACCATGGTATGAGATCACAATTACGCATTCATTATATAAAGCTGAACTCCAAAATTTAAAGATAAGCAGCAACCCTGGAGAATGGTGAAATCAAAATCAAAGTAGTAATAGAATATAAAGCTGTAAATGAAATTAGCCAATACTGTACAATACTAGATAATTGCTTCAGAACATAGATTAATCATCCAAACTGCATTGTTCCAACAATGCAAACATGAACATGCAACAGAAGATTTATTAAATCCACAGGCAACCCATCTAAAGTTCCGGCGATAATCTTTATGTTTTTTAGTTGCTTCAGGAATCCAACAACAAAAGGGCCAAAGATCTACAATTTACAAACTAATTATGCGAGACTTTAAGCTTGTAATCTTAAACAACGGAAATTTGATGAGAAGTATGAGAAATCCTAATTTTAAATGGTCCAAAATCATCCATGCAAAATACACATGATCCACGTCTGGTGCGAAGGTTCTAGAATCTATTATTGAAGTTTGAGGCTCAATGCAATCAGAAAACTATGATTAAGGGTGGCAATTCATGTTTCCATGTCGTGTTCGTGTCCTGTCATATATGTAGGGCTGCAAGTTGGGCGGGTTAGCCCTGCCCAGCCCAACCCCAACCCAAAAATTTTGAAATTTGGACACACAATTTACAAATCGGGCTCATGCTCAGGTTGGGTTTTGTCAAAACCCAGACAATTCGGGTTGGGCTCGGGCTCAACCCGAACCCAACGCAAAACCCAAAAATAAATTTTTTTTTTTTTTTTTTTTTCTCTTTTCTCTCTCCTCCCCGAAATTTTTTTTCTCTCTCCTCTCTTTCTCTTTCTCTTTCTCTTTCTTCTTTCTTCTTTCTCTTTCTCTCTCTGCCCGAAATTTTTTTTTTCTCTCTTTTCTCTTTTTTCTCTTTCTCTTTCTCTCTCTCTCTCTCTCTGCCGCCGTCCTCAGCCGATCCACCGCCGCCGCCGTCACTTCCAAAAATAAAAACAAAACCCATACATACAAGTTAGCAGTTGCAAAGAGAGAGGGGGGGCAAGCTTGAGACGGCTGAAGCTTGCGAACGGCAAGAACTGGAACAGCCGGCGATGGAAACTGAAACATATGGGTTTTGATTTTTTGAACAATCTGAAATGATCTGAAATATATGGATTTTGAACTTTTGATTCTTGCAGACAGATCTGAAATATATGGATTTTGAACTTCTGATTCTTGTAGATTTTGTAGTTTGAAGTTGCAGAGAGAGAGAGAGAGAGAGAGAGAGAGAGTTGAGAATGAGACGGGAGGCTGAAATGATTTGCCCTAAATTTTTTTTGTTTTTTAATAATATATATATATATATATATATAATATATATATTTTCCAAAAAAAAAATATAAATAAATTTTAAAAACTCAACCCGTCAACCCGACCCGACCGGCCCAAAAATATTCGGGCTGGGTTTGGACTATAACCCATGTTAAGTATAATTCGGGTTGGCCCAACCCAACCCGATTCGGGTTGAGGTTGGGTTGGGACTGGGCTGGGTTGAACCCGCCCAACTTGCAGCCCTACATATATGGTTGACACAAACACGACACAATTATTATTCGTGTCGAGGTTCGAACACGAAACAATTACTAAACAAGTAGCACGACACGGCCCGCATAACTTATTTAATAAATGTGTCAGGACCTAACAAGATAGGATACAACACAGCAAGACATGCTTAATTAAAATTTCATAATATTAAGGTCCTTTCAAACACATACACAACACGTTTAGCTAAATGAGTCCAATCAGGTTATAAACAGATTGTCAAGTCAAACACGAACTTGACACATTTAATTAGCATCAGTGTAGACTTGTCAAATTCGAATTGATATGCTAATTAAACACATGCTAATACAATGCTTGACACGTCCATTCAAGAAAATAAAACAAGTAAACAAAATAGGACTCAGTTATGTGACTTACTGCCATGGATCATCCCCAACCATCATCATGTCATCCTCATCATCAGTGTAGACGACTTGCCATTTTTTTGCTGATCCACAAAGTTCTCCTTCAATTTCAAACATCTCCTCCAATCTCTTTAGCAAATCTTCATACCGATCAAAGCGTGTCAGATCTACAGCCCTCCCAACAGCAACCCCTTGCATGTGAACCTGGATAAAGTGTCCATATATATCATCAAAGCTTTTTAATTTAGACTAAACATTTTGCTTTCACTTATTAATCATAAATCAGAATAAATTACTTAACCCGTTAGGCTACTCTCAGTTTAGATGTAAAGCTAAAAGGAAATGCAACCCAACAAAATGCAAACTCGCATGATATTAACATCCCCTTTCAATTCGTGATAATACTTCATCTTTCATAGGGAAGTTATAGGAAAGTTATCTTTTATTACATCTGAATTTAAGCATTGTTCAGTAGGCAGCATACCTTAGTGCAGCTACGAATCTGCCTACTTTGCGACTCTTGGGGACATCTCAGGCATGATTTCTCAGGCTCACAACTTACTGAAGGAACATCAGGTCGATTAATATTTGAATGTTCAGAATGCCTGTCAGATTCAGTATCCACGGATGGAACTGGCTGATCCTCACCCTCTGAACCAGAAACTGTAATCATTGGCAAAGTTTCGTCCACAGCAGAGTTGAGTAGTTCAATCCCAAATAGCCTGCAGCTATTGCTAGTGCCCTGTCGTCTTTCACTGGATTCTTTGTTAACAAATGGTACAAAAGAATCGGTTATGTTATCCTCCTGGTTAGACTTATACGTTGACTTGCTCGGAACAGGGGTCAAGGAACTATTCTCACAGTGGCTGAGAGAGTTGACCTTTGTACCAGAGAATTTAGGTGATGGATAATGGTCTCGCCCACGTTGTGGATCACAAAATGAGAAAGCTGAGGGAGACTCAGGTTGGGTTTTCCACATGCCTAGGGCACAAAGAAAATTTTCAATAAGACTAAACACATGGAACTGCAACAAAGAGGTACTAAGTATAAGTTCTCATACCAAGTGCAGAAAGATCTGACACTGGAGAAGGTAAAACTGGTTGTCGTGGCCGCTTGTTCCTTTGCAGAGGTTGGGAGTTTGAAGGAGTTGTTGCCATAAGCGGCTCTAACTCCCATGGTGAAACTCTTTCTGGACGAGGAATTGATGAAGGTTCATCCCACTGAACCTGCACAACATAATAACACATGCAAAACTTAATATGCTTAAATAAAAACTTTGAAAATGAATATTGGACAGAAAATGAAACAAGATACACCAGAAAAACAAGATACACTAGAAAACCGCATTCACGTGACCATAATAAGTAAATACTCTTAACTACATTTGATGGACGCCTTGCCAGTGTAAAAGAATAACAAGTAAAGAGGAACCTTAAGATCTAAAAACTTCACTACTGCGCAATTCCAAAATTATTAATAATAATAACAATTTGTTTCAAAAACCACTCGATCATGTCAGAGGAGTAATCTTCCTTTTACAATCCACATGTACAAATATGGAGTGATAAAGGACCGTAAAATGATATCATTCAGAATATTGTTACTAAAACTGAAGAGAAAATTATGTTTGCATCTCGACTTTAACAAATGAAGGATGTACTGCGCCACAAAGCGGCCACTCATTGGATTTATCTTAAAGATTGATAAGATATCATCCATGTCAGATATCAGTTAGTTGGAAAAGTTGAGATCTAGCAATAAGCTCGTGAAGAATTTCTCTCTTCCAAAGGACATTAAAATGAGATGAACCCAACTAACTGAATCATTTTAGCCTTATAAAACACAAATCTGTCAATCTTTAAGGTGGGTTAACAATTCCAGATCTTTGTTTTTCAAGATATGTGATACATACAACTTTTTTTATCCCAGCACACGGGGTTCTAAACACTGAGTTCAAAGACTATAAAGGCTACTGCTTCCAGCTGATTTAGAAGGATGCCAGCAGCCAAGTTCAAGAATTCAACATGTGAACTCACCTAGGTACTCCACAAGAGTACAACAAAAAACCCCACCAAGCCTTTAGCCAATTATTTGGGGTCGGCTACATGAATCCCATGTTTCTATTCCGCTCTATTTAAGGCTGTAGCCTCAGTCAATCCACATGAGTACTCCCACAAGAGTACCCTAAACAGAAACCTTTCAAATTTTTCATCATGGTCTTTGCAGTAAAGTAGAGCCGTGAATCATCCCAAAGAAACTCCAGCAGAGCTTTCTTCTCTTGACCTCAACAGGGTCAAAGCTATTTCAGAGGAATATCCATGAAAAATGGGGAACAGGTTACATTCAAATGGATTTACCTCATCCGTATCTACTACAAAGTTCCTTTGTCGTCAATTTCTTGAGGGCACATTTGAATATCCCACAGGAACAGAAACATTTGATGTTTTTTCTTTAAAAAGTGACGTCACCACACGATCGGTAAAATGCAAGCATCATTTCATATAATCCCAAAAAAGGGGATATTAAGCAATCAACAACATGAATTCTCTTCCACTGTATGTCCAATTGCACCCTTAACATAGATGGTCCACTAAATTCAAAACTGGGTGTCCAAATGGCACCTCAACATGTTGCTACACTAAATTCAACTATCAGTCATGAGCTTCATTCAAGAAATGTATTCACCTTTAAGGATCTCCATTCAGAATCAGGCCATCTCGACGATTTACTTTCTCCAACGCCAACAATGGTTCCACTGAACCTGCATAAATATTAAAATAAGAAACGTCAAAAGTTGATAAATATTTACTTATCAAAAACCAAAAAAAAAAAAAAAAAAAAAATGATAAATATTTTGAAATTTATAATAGAAAATTAGGCAGCTATACAAAATACCTTCTTTCAGGGACTTCCTCCCCCTCAAACCTCATCTTAAACCTCATCCCAACAGGAAGCTTCTGGCTCCGAGCTTCAAGGTACTTGTTCACACTCACGATAAATTCAGACCTACTTGTTCTGCCATGAATAGTGCTAATTCACTTGAAACAATATTTCTCAACAATTTCTCGGAAAAGTATCCATAAAGAACGTATACATGAAAAAGTTGAGATAATATGGTCATTATTAAATATAAATAACTATTAAACAAACAAAAAAGTTCTAAAATGTTTGAATCTTAGATACTTCATTTCTGCAATGGGAACATCAAAATCTCAGTCAAAAAACCTGAGTCAAACTAACACTTTAGCCGCAGAAGAGATATACTCACTTCCAAAAAGAAACTAATGCAAAGATGTCACCAAGATACTTTCAAGCAAATGCCAACACAAATAACCAGTACTGATTTCAAAACAGAAAACTTAGTTCACTAACAACAGCAAATAGACCGACCCCAAAATAAGAGTGTCGTTGCATGCTCGAGGGCCAAAAAAATGAAATGCAATTTTTAAAATCCAAATGGCATGGATGAAAATGAATCCCAATCAGAAGATGATGATATCAACAAGATGGAACAAGATAACATATACATATATCTGAACAAACAGAATTAGAAAATAAAGACTACCTTGGTTTATAGAAAACAGAAAACAGGGTTCCAGTTGAAATGGCATGAGATGCAGTAGCAAGAACTCCTATATGCATACTGTCACTGGATATAACCGAAGATGGCATATTGTTTAGTTGTCTCATTAGCCTCCTGACTCCAACACGCAGCTCTCCATTTTCACCCCTGGAAAAGAAATAAAATATTTAAAAAAATGCAGTAATGTGATTAGATTCACAAAAATAATAATAACTTCATTATGTATGATGAAACTTACCTGAGGAAAATGAAAGCATCGCCAGCAACTAATTTTTTGGCGCTAACAAAAACACTCCACCCGGTTGTAAGTAAGTGGCGCCTGGGTTGCCCTGCAAGTGATTTTTTAATTTATGTCTACTGAAATATAGATAACTAGAACAGTTTCAACAACCTGAAATTCTGACCAGGGCCGCATTTATATAGCCATTGATGTGTCACATGGAGGTACCACATGGAAGTCTTGCGAATATTAATCCCAAAATACCAATTGTCTTTGAAAGACAAGGATAGAGAAAGACAGAAACTAAATTTATTTAGAAGAAATTGAACCATTTCTAAAGGCTAGAATATCTGAACAAGAATAACCCACTCTAATGGCTAGAATATCTGAACAAAAACTGAGTACTTTGTACCATTCTAACAAAACAACCATAAAAAATACAGCTTCTTTCTTGTAAGGAAATTGGCCACTTAAGTTAGCTAGATATTACTTTTTCTTACTCATTTCTTTCTTGTTGTTATCCTTTTACTATCAACAATAATTGAACCATTGAGTCGCTCTTCACTTTAAGATGCTATGACATCAATTAACCACTCCGTTACAACTTTGGATTGAGTAAACTGTATATTACAAAAGGTTATAATCTAAGGTAGAGAACAAGTCCAGAAATATGAAGGATCTCCGAGGCCCATTGGATGAATTAACTCCCCATCGTATTACAATATCAAACATCCACGTAATGACTCTTAGCTGCCCTAAGATCCTATTGGAGTCTAGGAGCTTCGAGATAGATTCATAGAAAAACCATGAGTAATTTGTATTTCCTATAACTCAAATCAAAAAAGGTCACCTGACACATTCCCAGTGCTAGTCACTATATAAACCCCTAATACAAACACTGATGTTGATCACATAACATTACTATAAATTATTAAGACCACCATAAGTAGTACGGCACCCACTAGCTTCTACGAAGGAAATGAAAAGAACTGTTGCGTCATTTGAATGACCCATTCACACCAGTACAATAGTCCCGCAATAATTTTAGCAAGCTGGATGAAGTTAGAACTTTGATGGGTGGCCAAAAAATGTTTAGGCACTAAAAATATAGCACCCATATTAAGCTTTCCATCTTAAGCAGTTAGAATGTCTCCAGCTCTAATTAAGCATATACTGTATTATTATTAATGAGTCACAAATCATAATATATGCAAACCTCGAAAAATGTGACGAAAATGCCATTCATTTCCATGAAGATCAGTTGTAACCAATTCCTGCCAGGGTGGCTGCTGGGACATGTCCTGAATAGGAAACTGGACGTTAAAAGAAGGCAAAAGAAAATCCAAGCAAAAACAAGACGGTAGTACTAGGCAGCACTGAAGCAAAATATTATAAACTAAGTTAATACTTAATAAAAATTGCAAAGCTCACCAGAGGAGGCAAGCAATCATCGGCATGCCTCCGCAGAACAGAAAATCCACCATGGGTACTTGTGTCGGAAGCAGTAAGTGTCTTGCAAAATGAATGCACATTGCACCTTGGAGGATCTGGGAGAGGAGGATCCAGGCTGGTGACTTCACCTTGCTGATCCACAGAAGGGAATAAAACAAGGGACGCATAAGAAACAATAAGAAGCAATAAGTGCAAATACCATATTTAGAACCAATAATAGTATAAAAATAAAAAATAAAAAATAAAAAATAAAAAATCAGATATATTCAATGGAGCATTTAGAGGGGAACAAATCATCTCTGGGATTCCCAATCTTACAATGAGAATAAGAGAGAGATAACTCACGTCTGTTTCAGGTAGCAGGGTTATCTGGGCATAAACTTCATCTGTTTCTTGTTCAGCCTACAATCCAAGGTACAGCCAACTAAGCAAACCAGAAAAGAAAGACGCAGAAATACCGTACGCAGGCCAAGAAAAAGTTGAGATAAAAAAGGAGCATTTAAGTGAAAATGATAAAACTTACCCGAAGCTGAACATGCACAACTTTGCAAAGTATTTTCGCCGGTAGGTTGAATGAAGGATGATGTTGGTCTAATCCTTGATGAGTCGATGCTTCAAGCTGTAAGAAGAATCAGTATCTCGAAAAAAGTTAGGAACAAAACAATATGCTAAAAACAGAGGGAAAAATATCACAGAATAAAGTAAATGTCAACAATTGTAATCATGCTTGGGGTGTTAAATAGCAATTTGACATATATTAAGCAAAAGATTCACATGAAGCACGATGTGGGAAGAGTTAAAAGTTTTGTGCATCCAACAGGGTGATAGGCGTTGCAATAAGAAATAATAGAAAGAAAGAAAAAAATGCAACAAAAGTTTTTTTTTTGTACTTTTTCCCAATGCAACAAAAAGTATTAATCATGTGCAATTAGAAGTCATAAACATTGTCATTGAGGTAAACTTGTTAATTAACCAACTCATATATGTTACTCATCATATATATAGAAATACAACATATATGAATATTTTGCATGATAAAAATTGAAAGTTAGAGACTTCATTTATAAAGAAGGGGGGCCATAAGAGAAGAAAATTTTCAATCCATGTGAATACAAATACCTATGACTATTAAGAGCTCATATGTCTGAAAGAACACACAAATAATACGAATTCAGTATACCTGTTCCATGTGACCTTCTGGAAAGTAGTAAACGCGTTCCCCTTCCCGAGGGACAGTGACAAGGGGTCCAGCACAAGCATGCCACAGTTCTTTGTATAAAGCATCACTTGACACTCCTATAAACAAGCAACGTGGAAAATAGGACTTGATTAAAAAAAATAGAAAATCATAAACAACAGGAGTATGGACATTTCTTTGAAAAGGTAAAAGAAAGTTGTCAACTGCTGCTTGAGAAATCTTATTCGGCAGATCACTATAATGTGGCATCATATGCTGCTAATAATATGAATATCAAAATTAGCAAAGACATCATATGCTGCTAATAATATGAATATCAAAATTAGCAAAGACGCCATTGACTAAGGCATAGAGTTAAAATATTGTGGATCACAGATATGTCTCCATGTAACGTATCTCTATGTAACACCAAGAAATGAATAACAATAAGCAGTGATTGAATAAGCACCACATGGTCATGCTAATGAGAACAAATTAACACAATGAATCCTATAGTTCCATTTGGTTGCAGAAAATGCCAAGGAAAAGAAACATCATCAATTTTTGTGGGCTACATATAAAATCCCAACCACAGCAGCTAATTGTATTGTGGTCATGCAGCTCGATAATTATCTATTTCATCATCAGGCATTGAAAGAATTAGACCTTGTATTAGGCCACAAATAAGACCCTGATCAATTAATGAAACGTACACCTTCTAGTTCTACGTCAAGCATTAATTAACTACCACGGATAAATAATACTAACAAAATGATGATAAGATTAAAGTGAATATAAGCTCCAACCTGATCGAGGCCCTCCAGAGAAATGATTTGCAGCAATGGTAGCCATGCCAAGACCGCACTGAGGTTCCTCAGGGTACTCAATTAGCAGATGATAAGATCCCCAAAATTAAGGAAAATTCTTCCTCCGTATTGTAGACTGTAATTGTGTTGAACACAGAGACTGACCCAACTGATAGAATTTTCAGATATATCTGGGAAGACAATTATTGCAGTAGATGGCTCCCAAGATGGCTGATAAAAGCCCTTAATAATTTTGAATATGTCGGTTACTCTCTGCTTTGTGGCCTTAAATACAGCAAAAAAGTCGGCCCGTTTTGGGGCTTTAAGTTGATGGATGAAGACACAGATCACCCAAAAAGCATGAACCTCTCAGGAGCTGGATTATATGCTCCAAACCTCCTTTAAGCTTAAAATTCGGGAAAAACTATCTGCGCAGTAAAAATCACAGTTTGTCAATACTTCCAAAAAGGCGTAATTTTTCAACAAAAAGAGGAACATTGAACACATCCCATAAAGCTTGTGCTTGAACTTTGACTTGTTCTCGCTTCATACATGTCCAATTATCCATATATACATGTACAAACATTTCAATAAGTATTAGATGTAGATTTTACAGTGAAAAACATATGAGATACAGATTAGAGAGAGATTGCTACAACTTCAGACAAACAAGAAAAGCAATCAAAATTGGTCTTCATACTTCCATAAAACTCGAGATCAAACACTGATAGCTAGCAAAAACCATACTAAAAGATCGAACACCTTCAAATTGACTCACTTTTAGAATCAACTTTGCCGCAAAAAAAAAAAAAACAAAAAAATCAACACAACTATATACATCTATACTTACAAACGTACAGACATGTTTATGAGCACAGTTCAACACAAGAAATATTGATTGAATAACCGAAATGAAGCAAACAACTACAAATCCATACCTAAGAGTTCACAATGATTCGGCTAGAAAAAAATCGCCAATTGAATTCGCTTCCCTTCACAGATTGTTGTCCAACCTGTACACAAAAGGGAGCTGGATCGATAACGATGACTAGGGTTTCGAAAATGGTAGAGATTGATGAGATCGATAGATCGGTGGTCTTTGCCTGGTAAGAGCCGACACGACCCCTGTGAACAGGTATATACTTGTTAATTCGAGTCTTCTCTTTCTCTCTCTAGTCCCAATCTCTCTCTTGTTTCTATTTATGTACTTACTATGTGATTAGGGTGTCTGTCTCCAAATGCCTCTTTTTCCCGTTCTGTTTCTCTCTCTAAACTTTCTTACACGCTTTCTCTCTCTAAAATGTGTAAATTAATGGGGGGTTGGGCAGGTGGCAATCAGAGGGTAGCTTGTTTCTCTCTCTAGTGTAGTAACTGATGAGATAAGCTTTCTTATGTCTCTCTCGCACACATCTTTCTTAACGTTAATTTCAGACACCAACAAGAAGATTTAAAATTTCGTATTAAAATTATTTAACTAGACCTCGCGTTTTAGTCATATTTTATATTTTTTCTTTTTACCGTATTTGACCAGACAAAAACTTCACTTTTTACTAACTTTTACAATAAAATTTCATATGAAACACCAATACAAAGTTTTACTACGTAAAATTTCGTTTAACTAGACCTCGCATTTTAGTCAAATTTTATATTTTTTCTTTTAACCGTATTTGACCAGACAAAAACTTCATTTTTTACTAACTTGTACAGTAAAATTTTATTTGAAAATATTTTGACTTATTTTTTTTTTTGTAAGTCGGCTTTAATAATCAATTAATTTTATGACTAAGATCATTTTTGTATTAAAAATAGTTTATTTGAAGAATAACTTAAGAATTATGGGGCTTAAGATAGTAATAATTTCTCATATTCCAATATACTATAACTTAAGAAAGAATGTGTGAGTTTCTTGTAAAGGAAAAAATAAAATAAGTCATAATAATTATTAGGTTAAATTGCATTAACATTTTTTGAGGTTTCTGTTAATACCATTCGGATGTGGGTCAACGGTTTTTGGACAATAACATCCTCAGGTTTAAATAGATTGTAACATACCCCTGCACATGATAAAATGACCATTTAACCCTTTGACTAGTCAATAATCAGTCAATCACATAAGAAATGTGTAGAGGGAAAAATTTCCCTCCAATAAAAATGAGACACGACACCATTATACAAATCTGCATTTAGGAGATCTTAGAAGCCCATCCGGATCAAGCCCAAGTTACGTTGTGCTTTAACCCATTATTATTTATGTTGGGCCTCTAAAGCCAGACAAAAGTACCGATCACCCCAACATCACCGCTGTTGAAGTTTTGATTCATTAGTCAAGTCACTTACACCAAATCGCATCCGGCCCAAATGTAATTAAATATGGCTCAGTCCTATTTAACAAAGGAGTCAACTCGGATGGAAAGTTTTTATACAAAGCAAATTCTACATAGGAAATATCATACAATGGAAATAACTCTATTTGTAAAGAAAGTCATACATGGAAAGAATTGGAGGACAAGCAACGCGAGTCCTACCATAATTCTACCAACTTTTGTGTATAAATAGCGGCCTAGACCTCCAATAAAGGGGCAAGCAATTCAATTCTTCAATAGATACTGTTCTTGTTTATTCTTATTGTTTGTTGAGTGTGTTGTATTATTTTCTCTCGATCGTAATTGGTTGAGCGAAATTTTGCACCTACACTTTGGCACCGTCTGTGGGAATCGTGTGCAAATATATTCCCACTCTTGTTTCACAGGTGAATCCTGCAACTACCATCCAGAATGTCGAACGGAGGATCTTCAACGGATCAACAGACGTGAAGAGTTTCTACACCAGTTTGACGTACTTCATCAGGCAAACGAAGCAAGTGTGGCTCAAATCGCCTTGCTTCAACAGCAGAATAACACTCTGCAAACGGCGATGGCTCAGTTGGCACCACCGGCACCAGTGGGTGACACAGCAGTACCCCCTAATCAGAATATTCCTTCGATTACCGGACTTCCACCTAATGGGGCTCCACCTAATGGGGCACGGCCCAATGAGGCTCAGCCGAATGAGGTTCAGCAACAACGAAGGGCGAGATTTGAGGCTGTGTCTTCAGATAACGGCCCTCGTCACACGCAGGATGAGCGAGTCGGATCCAGCCATAAGCTCACAATGTGGTCCAATAGAATCCCAGATGGTGCAGGTGTTCAGGATGCCTTTCATGAGAAAAGACTCCTGAAGATTCAGACACCTGCTGAGATGGCTAGAGAACACAAAAATTCCTTGGTCAAAACTCATTTCACTGACGACGTGTGTCTGGTTAAGAGGCCCAAGAAATTTACCATGCCTTCTTTCACCCAGTTTGATGGAACGGGGGATCCTTCTCGGCACTTAAATTATTACGCTCAAAAAATAGCTTTAGATGATCGTAATGACCCTTGGATGTGCAGAGTTTTTCCTACCAGCTTGACAAGAGCAGCACTAGAGTGGTTCAGGAATAGACCGCATAAGTCCATCCTGGATTACGTAATTCTGTGCACCATATTCCTGGCACAGTATTGCGGAAATAAGAAGCAAAAGAAGAGCATTGCCAGCCTCTTCACCGTAAGGCAAAAGAAGGGGAAACATTGCAGGATTTCTTATCAAGATTCAACATGGAAGCCTCAGAAATAGCAGATTGTCATCCCACGACTGCTATAGAGACATTTAAACTTGTGATGATTTAGGGGACGAAGTTCCACACTTCCTTGGTCAAATATTCTCCTCCCGACATGCAGACTCTCAATGCCAGGGCACAGATCTACATTCGGCTCGAGGAAAATATAGCCCACCGAGCGCAGCACATCACCCTCGTGACGGTAGAGAACAGGCCTCCAGAAATAATTCCAACTTCAAAGATTCAGAAAAGCCAACGTTCCTCAACGCTGATCACCCAGGCACCTGAGAAGAGGCAAAGGGTAGAGGAATGATTTACACCTCTCCGAACTACCTTGGCTCGGCTCTTCCAAGAGAATAAGATGAAGTTCACAACTCCGTAGCCAATAAAGCAACCCCTGGAGCAAAGGGACAAAAGCAAACATTGCGCTTATCATCGAGATTATAGGCATTCAACCAATGATTGCAGATCCCTTAGGCGATAGGTGGAGAATATGATCGCCAAAGGTGAGTTGGCGGATTACCTCATGACAAAGGAGTATGCAAAGCCCCGTTAGGTCTATCCCCGTAAGGTAGAAGGTGCGCAGCAAGTAAAAGTCATTCATGCAATATATGGCAGGTCTGAAGATGATCAAGAGTCCGAGGGGGTATACAGATCTAGATTGAGGGCAGCCCACAAGCTCAGGAAGATATCCTCAGTCAATGTTATCTCTTCGGGTAGCATCAGTATTGGATTCAGAGATAGCGACCTATCCAGAGTTCAACTCCCCCACGAGGATCCATTAGTCATCAGTCTTTTAGTGGCCAATTGTATGATCAAGAGGTTTTGATAGATCCAGGAAGTAGCGCCAACATTATCACAAAGACGGTCTTTGAGCAGCTAGAGATCCCGTCATCATCTATTCGACCTACCTTTAGCCCGTTGATGGGATTCAATGGCACAAGAACAGATCCCCTAGGAGTAATAGACTTTTCCGTAACTGCGGCGAAGAGGACTCTGAAGGAGAACTTTGTTTTAACAGAGATTCATCCTTCTTATAATCTCATCATGGGAAGTGTTGGATACACTGGATGAGAGGAGTTCCGTCCACCCTTCACCAGGTTATGCGGTGTTTATCTCCGGACGGAAAAGAAATGATTAATCTATGGGGTGATCAAGTCGCTGCGAAAGAATGATATATGTTGACACAGGCTGAAGCAAATAAGGTGTCTACTCAGCAACAACCAGGTGTGGCTTCCAAAAATATACCCAAATAGCAATTACAGAACCCTCTACCCAAGTATCTCAAGGTAGAGGAGGAAGAGGAAATTGCGAAGCCCACTAAGGAGACCCTTAAAGCCGTGGAAGTTATCCTCGGTGACCCTCAGAAGGTCACTTATTTAGGCTCTTCCTCCACGTCCGAAGAAAATGAGGCGTTAATTGATGTTATCCGGAGCAATGCAGATGCTTTTGCATAGGATCACTCGGATATGGTAGGGATCGATCCTTTAGTTTCTTGCCATAGTTTGAAGGTGGATCCGGAGTTCAAACCGGTTAAGCAGAAACACCGAAGGTTTGCCCCCGAACACAATCACATTATAGCTGAAGAAGTGAACAAGTTGTTGCAAGCAAGTTTCATTCGAGAAGTGCAATATCCACAGTGGTTGTCAAACGTAGTGGTCATACAGAAGAAGAATGGAAAATGGAGGGTTTGTGTAGACTATACCAACTTTAACAAAGCCTGCCCTAAAGATAGCTTCCATCTGCCCAAGATAGATCAGATGGTTGATGCTACCACTGGCTACGAGAAGCTGACATTTGTAATACCCTAATTTTAAAAATGATATTCCTGGTATTTAATGGTATTTAATTTATTATTTAAGTGCATTTTATTTGATTATGTGTCATTATTTTTTTTTATTAGGTGCTTAATTGTTTTCTTTTGTGGTGATTTAATTTATTTAAATGATATTTATTTTTAGTTATTTGATTGGAATTACTTGTTAGTGTTTTAATTATTTAATTGGCATTAATGGTTTAAGTGTAATTGGTTTAGTTATTTGATTGGCATTACTTGTTAGTATTTTAATTATTTAATTGGCATTAATGGTTTAAGTGTAATTGGTTTAGTTATTTGATTGGCATTACTTGTTAGTGTTTTAATTATTTAATTGGCATTAATGGTTTAAGTGTAATTGGTTTAGTTATTTGATTGGAATTACTTGTTAGTGTTTTAATTATTTAATTGGCATTAATGGTTTAAGTGTAATTGGTTTAATTATTCTATGTGTGTCTTATTTGGTTTAATTGGGTTTACTAATTATTATTTTGTTCAATTAGATTATTTGTTAAGTATTTAATGGTGAATAGGGTAATTAGGTAAATACATCTAACTAGGGTTTTAATTACAGTATAAATTAGGGTTTTATATTATAGCCGTCGTAGGTTTCTACGTTAATTGGATGGGCCGGTTAGGATTGTGAGTTGGACTTAAATGAACCTAGGGTTTAGAAAAACTCTATAAGTATAAGGTAGACGTTTGTGTATGGTCTTTTTAAACAAAGCACACGTTTTGTGGAAGTGGAGAAGGAAAAACGCAGTTTTTCACATTCTGCCAAGGTTTGATCAAAGCTCCGATCCCGCTTCGTCCGTGGTCCGATCGAGCTGAAT